AACACCCCCACTGCCCAACACCCCCACTTCCCAGCACCCCCACTGACACTAAGAGCCACTGGAGAGACTCGGCTTCTTCCAGTGGGATGGAAAGGCCTTTGGAGAGGGATGCAGATAGGTTGTAACACTTGGTGGCAATTATCAGTAAATCCACGTGACTTCATCTGGGTGCTTTTTGTTACTTGGCACGGGGTTCAGCTATTTTAACAGGCATAATTTGGGGGGTCGAGTAAATGGCCTTTTAAGGTTCCTTCCAACCCAAACTATTCTATTATTTTTGTGTCTTTCCTTAATGCAGATACAACTCCTGAGGAACCACACCACTGAATCCCACCCAGCAGCTGCCAGGAAATGCTTCTGCCTGGTTTTTACCTTGAAGGATCGTTGTTCCCCTGGGTTGTTTCTCACGGTGGCCCTGGGGTGAGTGACAGGCATCAGCCACTTGTGTGAGTCCCTGTCACTGGCAGCCCGGGGAGGCACGTCTGGGATGGGCCAGGCTCTGCACTGCCTGACTTGGGAGGATGCTGAGATGCTCCTGTGGTTTAGGTTCTTCAAAGCTCTCACTCCCATCCCCTTGTGCTGCTTGCAGAATGGAGGGACAGGGGAAGAAGAGGGGGATTTTTTCTGGTTTCGCCATAGGAAGGATTTTCAAACCCTATAAATTCAGTTTTGACAAGCGAGCAGCTAAAGCAGATTAACCTTTTTGTTAATCCTCTATAATGGCTTTGGAATCTCCTTAGACAATAAGAAAATGATAAGAGCCTGTTTCTCTTCTTTTTATCTATATCTATATTGTCCTCCCTTGTCTGCATTTTTTTTTCATTCTTGTTTTATTTTCCTTTCCTTTTCTAATATGAAATAGCCCAGTGATCCTATCTCCTGGAGGCTCAGTAAACAGAACATCAATAATCCCTTTCCTTTATTCCTTGCTGGTAACAAGGTGCTGAGAACTGTCTGCCCATTGGGGTTTGATTGCCAGCAGCTATCAAAAGTCTCTTTGTAAGATCTGGGTCCTAAATCCCATAATTCTTTGATAAAAGAAGTATTACCAGTCCATTTTCTGAAGTGAAAGGTACAGGAGGAATGAAAGAAAGCAATCAGTGGAGATCCTAATAGGCTAAGTGCATGTGTGGTGGGAAGGCAGGGACAGGCAGGGGAGGCCAGGGAAAGGTGTCCTTTGTTAAGGATGGGAAAGGAGAACTAATCAGCTTTGGGCCTATGATTATTACAGCCAAGAGCAGAAAGGGTCAAATCCTGCACCTGCCCATGGCACACCCCAGCTCTCCTGTGCTATGGTCCCCAAGGCCTGGCACAGTGTGGGGAGCAGAGCCTGGCCCCACATCCATCTCCTGTGCCAGTGTTTGGGTACCAGCATTCAACTGGAAGCAGGTAGCAATGGTCCCTGGTGTGGAGCATCCCCAGTGCCTCTCTGGAATGCTGACACCTTGGCATGGCAGCAGGGAACTTGTTCAGATCAGATGGCTACAAAGGCATCTTCTTCTCAAACCTACAGCAAATATGTAAAGATTTATAGAACCTGGTTATCATTTCTGTCACACCATGGGAATAGTTGAAGGAGGGCAAATTAAGAGGCAGAGGAAAAAACAGTTGTTTGGTTTTAGGTGAGATTTTTCAGAGGTCTGAGGGTCAGTGAGGCTATGGGACACCTTGTCCTGGCTTCAGGAGACCATCAGGGTGAGGAAGGGCAGGCAGAAATCAGGGTCAAGGAGAAAGGAGGGGGGATGGAGACGAGCTCTCCTGGAGACTGGCTGATGTCTCTGTGTGATGCTGGAGGGGTTGCTGAGCTGTTCAGTGTGAAGTCACAAGGTGCCACCAGATCTCTGACATGTAGAGCTTTCACAGCATTCACCTGTGTGTCTCCTCAGTGTACCAAGAGTGGGACTGGTGTCTTCTCTCCCCTGCAAAGAAACACCAGGCAGGAGAGCATTCCTTATGTGAGCTCCCAAAGCCTTGCTACCCACCTTGGCTTAAACCACACCGAGGGCAGGAGAACTTGGGTTTAAGCTTTCCTAAGTAACCTGATCTCAAGCCCACTTTCTCTATTTTAACTCCAGGTACTCATTTCAGTCAGAAACCCAAGATGGAAGATGTCCTCTCTCATCCCATGGACTCCATCTGCCAGACCTTGCTGTTGGTTCTTTGGGGGGTCAGTGCCAGGTGTCACCCACTGTCCTGAGTCACTGCTCTTGGCTTTATCCTCACTCCAGTTTCATTTGCTGGACAGAAGAAGCTGGGAATAGGACAGATAAAGCTTTGGGGAAGTCTGGCTGCTCCAGGCAGACATTCTGGCTGCCTGGGGCTCACAGAACCACCTGTTAGCTGTGGCACCAAGACCACACTCCTGCCCAAGGTGCTGCAGGACCTCACTGTCTGCCTGCCTGCTCCTGGAGGCAGCAGGCAGCACTCCCAGGGCCCAGCAGGGGTACACCTCAGTGGTACAAGAGGTGGCTACATGCCACTAAGCTATGCCACAGAGCTGCCACAAGCTGCCAGTAATCTAATTTACTAAGGGCTTTGAATCCTTGCAAAGATGTTGGATACGTATGTTGGATACATGCAAAGCATCTGTATTGTCACTGTGATTAGGACAGCAGAGGTGGGGGAAAGGGGAAAAGGGAAAATGCAATTTCTCTGCCTTAAGCAGAAAATAAACCAACTTTTACAGAGTTCTGGCACAGCCAAAGGCTCTGCTATCATTAAAAAATGATTTTTTATTAAGCTGAACTCTCTCCTTTCTCATATTGTATGATATGACAGCTCTCTTTTGATGGGAAAGCTTTCATTTGGCCAAAGAAAGGGATAATTTGCTTCTTTTAAGGAGTTAATCCTCTGGTCCATTTCCGGGCTGGGAACAGCTATCCTCCCCCTTCCTTGGATAGGAGGCAGCAGCACAATGGAGATCATAACCACCTCAAATCTACACCCGAGATGGAGAAATCAGATTTCCTTCTCCAGTCATTTTTGTGGGATTAGCTAAATCTTAGATCCACACTAACCCTTCACAAAGCTGCCAAGATTAGTTAGAATTTAGTTTATTCACAGAGGGGTTTATGGTTTTCTTTCCAGAGGGATTATATATCTCTCTATATATATGTGTGTGTATTTAGGGTGGCTTCAGTCATAAAGCAGCTAGGTTAGAGGGAGAAAAAGTGTGTGTGTATAAAATCAAAACTCTGCTGAGGGAATGAGAGTCACTTGAGACACCAAGACAAAGCAGGGATTCTGGATGGCTTCTCTGGTCCGTTTTAAAAGCCACTTCAGCTACCTCTTTCCTGGTGAGACCCTGCTCCGGAGTCAGGGCACGGAGAGCAAACCCCACCCAGCCTGAGCCACCGTTCCTGTGGCCACTGCTGCTGGCAGAGGGTGGCTCTGGGGGCAGTGCCAGACGCTGATGCCGGCAGGACAGCCCTGAAGAAGCCGTGTTCCTTCAGGCAAACCCCCCCCGGGCCTGACCCACCGTTCCTGGGGCCACTGCTGCTGGCAGAGGATGTCTCTGGAGCCAGTGCCAGACGCTGATGCCGGCAGGACAGCCCTGAAGAAGCCGTGTTCCTTCAGCATTGAGGACATCCTCTCCAGCCCTGCAGAGAAACCCCACCGGGTCCTGCTCCCGTTGTGCCTGCAGGGCATCTTGGATTGCACTCCCAAGGGGCTATGTGAGCTGGAGGGCATCCCAGGCAGCTCCTTGCAGGATGAGGAGGAGGAGGAGGAAGAGCTGGAAGGGACAGGTTGCAGCTGCTGCTGCTGCTCCCACTTGAGCGCCCGTTCCCCGCAGGACTCGCCGAGGTGGCTGGGTGAGTGTTTGGGTTTGATTCACAGTGTGGGGCTGGTGCCAGCGCTGGGTGGAGGGGAAGACCTGGATGTTGGGTGACAATACAGTGTCTGGCCTGCCATGGTGGTCTCCTCAGACCTGAGCTCCAGCAAGGGGCAGCACGATCCGTTTCCAGAGCAGGCACTGCTACCTGCAGTGCTGCCAGGCTTCTAAAAGCAGCAGTGGTTATTTGTTGCTGGATATTACTGTGTTATTTAAAACACGATGACACTTTGAGGGGTGGGAGCTCTCACCCCTCAGTGTGGGGCATGAGGAAAAGAGTTTTTGGCTACATCTAGCCCAAGTGCAGTAGGTAAGTAAACAAGGAAAACGCAGGCAGTGCTGCCCGCCTGCACACTTCTCCTCCAGTGGTGCCCTGAGCCCTCCTCTCACTCACACGGAGCTCACCCAGCTCTCCAGCTGCCTTCTCCCAAACAGCCTGCACGGGGGCAGCTTGTGCCTGAGCTGCCTCGAGCAAAGGGGTGTTCCAGCCCCCAGCCCTAACGCTGCTGCTGTTCCTCTCCCCCGCAGACGCCCGGTTCCCCTGGCCCATGCGGCTCTTCCACTCGGCAGTCAGGGTCCGTAAGGGCCCCCAGGGGAGCCCGGGTGAGCTGCAGACTTTCCAGCAGCTGCAGCGCCGGACGCGCCGGCATCGCACCATCTTCACCGAGGAGCAGCTGCAGGCCCTGGAGACACTTTTCCACCAGAACCAGTACCCGGACGTCATCACCCGCGAGCACCTGGCAAACCGCATCCACCTGAAGGAGGAGAGGGTGGAGGTGAGGTCCTGCTGTTTGCTGCAGCTCCCCCAGGACACCAAGTGGGGCCTTGAGCTCCCTCTTTTTGGGAGCTGCAGACCCAGGACCTCATTTTAAAGCTCGTTTGGCTGTTTAACAAAGCACAGGTTAGGTCTGGAGAGCAACGGGAGTGTAAAACAGTTTGATTTGTTCTGGTGTCTGGTCCCAGACACTTACTCACTCCATCTCTCCTGGATTCACCTCTGTAAACACACAGACATGCCCTGTTCTGCTCATCCCCTCCACCTGAGTGCACATTCCCTATGTCATCTGCATCACTTCTGAGCTATAGGGAGCTCCCAGACCCCTTGTGCCTCTCTCATCCACCTGAGCAGGATTCCAGGGGTGGGACTGATTGTGTCAAAACCTCGATATTGAGAAACATACTGCAGTATCCTAAAGCTTGTGCTGTACAGACCGGGAGTGTAGCTGCCTGCCCACCTCCCAGGTAACACATGAAATGCCAAAGCTCTTCTCGTTTTGCACTTTCTAGGTTTGGTTTAAAAACCGTCGGGCCAAGTGGCGGCACCAGAAGAGGGCATCTGCTTCGGCACTGCTCCTGCAAGGCAGCAGGAAGCCCCCGGAGGAGCGCAGTTAGCGGGGCGGGCGGTGTTTCGGCACAGAACACCAAGAGCACCCGTGCCCAGCTGCCGGGTGCTGTAGGGGGGTGGGACTAACGGAGCAAAAGGGAATCCCTGTGGTTCCCGGAGGAGGAGCACAGGTAAAAGCAGACGTGGTACTTTCACATCCCAGTTTCTCTTCTAAACCTGGTTCATGAGCCAAATAACTCGCCGGGCCCGACCCTGAGCCGCTCAGGCACAACCCAGGGGCACCAGCCGGTCCGGGGGGGGAGAGACCCCCGTGTGCTCGCTCTGTGCGTCCTCCTTGCGCTCGTTTCACCGCTGTAACTTCGCAAATGCACGTGCCCTATTTTCAGCACCTCGATGGCCTCTCGCCTCTGCTTTTGGGGTGGGGTTGGCTGAGCAGGGGACCTGTCCCTTAACGCGACGTGACCCCCGCGCCCGGGGCGGGACC